AAAACTTCAAGTCACCGAAGAAAACATTGAAGAGTGTAACAGAAAGCTCTTCTATGGTCATGGATCAGTAAGATTAACATAGTAAAAATGACCACCCTATATAAAGGAATCTACAGATTCAATGCAACCCCCACCAAAATTCTTCATAACTTCCAGATTCATATGGAAGCACAAAAACCACAGGATATCTAAAACAATCTTAAATTATTAAATTAAAGAATTGCTGATAGGAGCTCACTCACAGACCCTGGACTGACAGCTGGGGAACTTGCATGGGATCAAACTAGGGCTCTAAATGTGGGTGACAGTGGTGTAGCTTGATCTGCTTGTGGGGCTCCTGGTAATGGGATCAAGACTTATCCCAGGTGCATTAACTGGCTTTGTGGAGCCCATTCTCAATGGTGGGGATGACTTGTTCAGCATTGGTGCAGGGGGAGGGGCTTGGTTCTGCCTCAACTTGACATATGAGACTTTGTTGACTCCTATAGGAGGCCTAACCCCCTCTGAGGAGTGGATAGTTGGTGAAATGGGAGGGAAGTGGGAGGCGGGAGAAGGGGAGAAAGGTGGAACTGGAGTCGGTATGTAAAATGAAAACAAAAAATTTTAAAAATACCTAAAAAAAAAGAATTGCTGGAGGTATCACCATGCCCAATTTCAAGTTGTACTACAAATTTATAATAATAAAAAACAGCATATTGGCACAAAAAACCAGATAGCTTGAACTGATGAGGACAGCTGGGCTGTGGCTCTTCAGAGGTACTATTTGTATACAAGTCATTTGTAGATATAAGAAACCTTGGTGGTTGTTAAGAGATGGAAGTGGAAATTTGATACCCAACCAGCTCCAGTGTAGACAATTACCCCAAAGCTTCTAAAGAGGGACAGAGAATTGAATATAGGGTCTTACATGTGCTAGATAAGTGCTCCACCACTGAGCTGCATTACAAGAACATTGGTTTTCTTTTTATTCTTTTGTAGTTTCATATAGGAATAAAATGTATCATATTCATTCCTACACCCATCATTCCCAAGACCCTCCAACTCTCCACTATATTCTCCCTCCAACTTCATTATTTGTTGCTCTTCTTCTTCTTCTTCTTCTTCTTCT